GGAGAGAGAGCGAGGGAGACAGAGACAGACAATGGAGATATATATGGAGAGACAAAGAATGGAGAGAGAGAGAATGGAGAGAGAATGCAGACAGAGAGAGAGAATGGAGAGAGAATGCAGACAGAGAGAGAGAATGCAGACAGAGAGAGAGAATGGCGAGAGAGAGAATGGCGAGAGAGAGAATGGCGAGAGAGAGAATGGCGAGAGAGAGAATGGCGAGAGAGAGAGAGAGAGAATGAGCGAGAGAGAGAGAATGGAGCGAGAGCGAGAGAATGGAGAGAGAGCGAGAGAAAGGGGAGACAGAGAGAGAAAGGGGAGAGAGAGAGAGAGAATGGAGAGAGAGAGATAGGAAAAGAGAGAATGGAGAGAGAGATAGGAAAAGAGAGAGGCAGACAATGAAGAAATAGAGAGAGGGAGAGAATGGAGAGAGTGAGATTGGAGAGAGAAAGAGAGAGAGAGAATTGAGAGACAATGGACAGATAGAGAGAGAGAGAACGGAGAGAGGGAGAACGGAGAGAGACAGAGAGAGAGAACGGAGAGAGACAGAGAGAGAGAACGGAGAGAGGGAGAGGGAACGGAGAGAGGGAGAGAGAACGAAAGACAGAGAGGGAACGGAGAGAGGGAGAGAGAACGAAAGACAGAGAGGGAACGGAGAGAGGGAGAGAGAACGAAAGACAGAGAGGGAACGGAGAGAGGGAGAGAGAACGAAAGACAGAGAGGGAACGGAGAGAGGGAGAGAGAACGAAAGACAGAGAGGGAACGGAGAGAGGGAACGGAGAGAGGGAGAGAGAACGAAAGACAGAGAGGGAACGGAGAGAGGGAGAGAGAACGAAAGACAGAGAGGGAACGGAGAGAGGGAGAGAGAACGAAAGACAGAGGGAACGGAGAGAGGGAGAGAGAACGAAAGACAGAGAGAGGGAGAACGAAAGACAGAGAGAGAGAGAGAGAGGGAGAGAGAGAATGGAAAAAGAGAGAGAGGGAGGGAGTGAGAAAGAAAGAATGGAGAGAGGAAAAAGAGAGAGAGAGAGAGAATGGGGAGAGAGAGAGAGAGAGAATGGGGAGAGAGATAGGGAAAGAGAGAATGGGGAGAGAGATAGGGAAAGAGAGAGAGAATGGAGAGAGAAAGAGAGAGAGAATGGAGAGAG